TCTTTTATTTAAATAAAGTATTCTTTTCTTTTTTTATTTTTAAAATTATTAGATTAAAATAACAATTATATATTTATATATATATAAAAGGTTTCTAATTCAAATTTGTATAAATATAGAAAATTAAACTCCTAAAAAAAAAAATAAAAAATGCAAACAAACGTTAGAGATTATTTCTCTTCTGTACACTTTCTCCTTTAAATCATTTTTTTACCTTCACGAAAACCGTTCTTAAAACGTCGATTCACAAGTTTTAAGTATCGCATACGACCAGTACCCGTGGTTTTTCTACGCTTAGCTTTTTCACTCCAATTATCTAAATTATACATTACACATTGATTTAAGAATAATTTTAGCATTTTAACATAAATCATATTTAATTACAAAACCTACAATTTCTGGTCTTTGCAGCTGGATATCCACATTGAGCACATGTTTTCTTTTGATTATGAAAGGCCCTTCTACCACAACGACGACATAATGTATGAGTCTTTGTATGACGCTTACCAAAACTAGATGTACCTTTAGTCTATATTATTATAATTGATTATAATTGATCATTATTGTTTTTCGGAATTTCATATTATTATTGTTTCTTTAGATTAGTTAACTCTTGAATTTAATGATAAATGTATAAAAATAAAAATAATAATTTGTCTACCATGATTTATTTGTTTTGCTATTTTTCAAATTTTTTTAGATGAAAATTTAAAAAAAAAATTTTTTTTTTCAATTGATTAATTAAACTCGTGACTTTGACGATCATAAAAGAAAAAATTCCGGACTTGAATTACAAAATTTTCTTGTTGAACACCATAAAAAATTTAATGAGCCTTTACCTGATATATTAGTATTACTCCACCATCCTCCAACATATACACCAGGGAGAAGAAGACTAGTGAAAGATGACGCTGAAGTAAGGAATTAGGAGCAAGAGAATTTTGGAGTTAATAAATAAATATTTAATATATAGTTAATGGGTTGATTGATTTTTTTATTGGTGATTAAAATAGACATTGAGATTACTTTACATGGCTTGACCAATTAGTTTGTTATTAAATGTTATTCATTATACAAAAATCTTATTAGTCGTCAGTAAGATCTTATGTTACGTCAATTGAAAAATTGGCTATTGATACATGGAATTAAAGCCAAAATACTAAAAATACCGACTGATGTTTGGGTTGAAAATGAGAAAGTATGTGCAATTGGCAATTAAAGTTATTATAATTGGCAATCATAATAAATATTAATCATCATAACTAACTTGACATAATGGTTTAGGTAACCAAGTTCAAAGATATATAACATCATACGGATTTGAGCTTAATTGTTAATACAGGGTTTAAGATGGTAATTCCTTGTGAGAATGAAAGTAAAAATGTAACTTCACAAAGAACCTATCAAACAAGGAAAATAAATCATGAAACAAATTTATTTTACCAATTTTATTGTTGCTATTAGGCTATTAAACGAATCATATTGACAAATTATCACCATTGAACAATAAAAATAAAATAAAATTTAATAATTGACAAGATAATTGGGCATGATATTGCTTCCCCAATTATGTAATAACAAGATTTTACCTGCATTATTTTTCACTTTTTATTAGTATTAGATAATTCATTTCTCGGAATGTTGATAATTGCTGAATATATAAAAAAAGGATTTTTGTATCACACGTTTTATTAATTCGTGAACATATATATACTAAGTACAAGTCCTACGTAAACAACTTACAATAAGGTGCCTCGGGTATAAACCTCAACATCGCGAACGACTCTTGTTGCTTTTCTGTAAAATACTTCAAAAGTACACTACGAGCTCCGTTTACATTTCTATGATGGATTTGCAAGATGTACAATTAAAGATCTTTGAACCGCCCAGATTTGACTTGATGACTCTGCAAAATCCGCATGTTTTGCTAGTGTATTTCGTGCAGATGATGACCTTAAACCAATGATGCTCGCAGTATTTGTGGAGCAAACACAATCAACATTTGTCTTTGCAGTTTTAGAGTAGATTTTTCTAGAACCGCATTCTTTAACCATGTCTTGTGTTTTAAACTCGGGGAACAAAATCATATGGTGGTTTTCGCACAACCATATTGCAAATCTTCGATAACATTCATCGGTAAGATTACAAATTTTCTTGTGGATTCGGAGCATGCACCGACGTATGCCTCCTACATTTTATTTCCATGAATAGAATTCCTTTCGCCTTGAATTCTGTCATAATACAAGCACAAGCGATGTGTTCTACTAATATCCCCTTTTCCCCATTCTATAACCTCACCGCTTGGGTTATGAAGGTTCTCACTCCTAGGTCAAGAGAAATGATGCCAGCGCCTCTATTCTCTTCGACCACCGAAAATTTAGGACCTTGGTTATCAGCTTTAATTTCGAGTGGTTTGGGGACACACAAGTAGAATTCACCAAGACAATTCATGGTGAGACGAAGCTCATAATTTATTCCAGGTATTTTTTCATTTGTTTCAATATCTTTTAGAAATAAATAATGATACAATTTCTTCTCCGTTTTTTCATGTGTTTCATCAGCTTCTTCGATGGCATTTTCATCAATTCCTCAATTACGTTATAATTTATCTGTATACTAGTATTTGAAGTATCAAAATGTTCTCCAAAATAATTTCTTTTAGTTTGAATTGTGGCATTTGGACAAAGGCGTAAATAGTTTTCACATCTAGATACTGGACTAGTACATTGATATTCAAAACGTAATTGCTTATAACATTAACATTATCAATATGTTTAAAATGTTGCCAAACTGCATTTTGGCAATGGTGAACTTGATAATAAGATTTGCACCAATATGGTCAGCTGGCTTTCTGGATATTTGTTTGCAATATCTTCATACAAACAATACAAACATAATGGTCTAAAAATTAAATTTCTAGTCATAAATTTTTTATTTTAGTAAAAATGTACTTTGAACAAATCAACAAATTATTAACAGATTATGAAAGAGCAAGTTAATAGTATTTCTTAGCATAGTGGAAATTTGAAATGTTACACTAATTTTTTATATTGTGCAACGTAGCTTTACAATACATGGCAATAAAAAGTAAGTGATAAACTGGATTTGAATTGGATCTGAACTTGATCACCAATTTAGAGAGGTAATAACTATATACTGGAGAAGTTTCAGAAGCAATGAGTTCTGTATAACGTTTCGTGTAACAACAAACCTCCACTATGCTGTATTTCTTTCAATTATTATTATAACTGATTTATTTTTAGAAAATGTAACATAGATATATATAATGAATTGATCACTATTCTGGAATCGAATCCCGATATGGTAATATCCCTGACTGAATTATATTTGAGTTGAAATATTAATTTCTTTAATTGATGAATTCTGGTGATCACTATCCAAAAGAGAATTATACAGAAAAAACTTCTCTCTATATTACAACTTGGTATAGGAGGCCAAAATGTAATCCAATGCAGTATTTGAAAATATTAGTAATTGTTGTGATATACTTGACCAATATTGATTTAAAGATGGATTGTATCAATTCATTGCTTGGATTTTGTAATTCCGTTATTACACTACAATGTTGAATATATTTTCTTTAATATATTTGTTATAATAATTACTATTGTTGTATCATTAATTATTTTAATTGTTATCAATTAAAAGGTTATAAAGTTTTTATATTATTTTTTGGTCTAGAACTTTTTTTTTACCCTTTCTATTTCTTTTATAAATATTTAATGTCGATCACGCGATAATCATCATATCTATTATATTACAATGCAACCATTATGCGATGATTTTCATTATTTATTATTATTCAACAATTTTTATTTGGTCATGCAAATATTATTATGCAGAATGCATAAAATCATCATCCCTGGTATAGATATAATATGGGGCATGCTGCAACAAAACCAGACAAAGTGAACATTGGTATTACTGAAGATTTCAGGTAGAATATTAGTGACGATTATAATAAATTTTTATTTAATAATAATTATTAAAATGAAATTACAATGATTTAATAACAGAAGACAAATTTTATTTTGTAGGAATAATATCTATCTATTTATATTAATTCTAAAATACTTTTTCTTTATATCTATTAAAGAAAGAACTTGTTGGCAATCCAATCGTTATTAAAAAAGAAACTAATATCCTTTTATTACAATGAAAATAATACGTGATGATATATTATTACCTACTAATTACTATTACTTCAACTAACATTTTCTTTCTTCAAAAAACAAAGAAAATGTTAGAAGTTAATTAAAAAAAATAAACACATGTATGTACCTTTATGAATCCTGTTGTTGGTCAACCATTTATTATCTTATAAACGAAGTTTTTTGCTAAATTTATTAGTAAAGAATAATTTAATAAATAATAATAATATTGGTAGTTGACTACTCAACCCAAATTCAAAAAAGCAATGTTATTTCTAAATTGTAGTTCCTCGCCTCCATTGAAATTACTAAAAGTTTTGCTAAAAATAGTAATGTCGTTAAAAACTGAATGAATAATTTTCAACTGGTAATTCTTTTTCGTTTCTTTATGAAATCATATCTAAAATTTTACAAGGAAATAAAATAAGTCTCAAAGAATGTGTGTACAAAATATCACGCTCCTTGTTTGAAAAAATCATGTGGTCTTACTAGTAGCGAATAAAAATTTCTTTTGATTTTAATAGTAATAGTAAAACCTTGACTCATTTCTTTAATTTTATAAAGATCTTCCATTAAAATGCAGAGAAATTTTACCTGTAACACATAGTAAATGACACAAAAATATAGTATATAGTAATGAATTCTATGTGACATCACGACGATCTCAAAACACGTCTCGAAGCAATAAAAAATTTGTTTTGTGAATCTTGATAGAATCTTCGCAGAGTATTTATTGTTAATAAGGGAAGTAAGTTAAAAATCAAACATTTTTGGCGGCCAACAATATCCGACATACTATATGGCCGAGCTAGACATTCATGTTTAGTGATGACTCCTGTGGCTTGCCGTTTAGGGACAAGATTGTAAGGATACTCTCTTTGACGTGTTGTTTATCCCTTTTGGGTTACTTCCTCATTGCAGCCTACTCCTTCGTCTTGTTTCTAGTATATTGGACATAGTGCTTCCTACACCCATATTGGCCGAGCTAAATGATTGGTATTTTGTGATGACTCCGTATGGCGGATGCTTGGTAGAAATTTTAGGTGGATACCCTCTTTGACGTGTTGATTGTCTCAGAGATAATTTTCCTCATTGCAGTTTACTCCTCCTGGTTTTTACCAGAAAGCACTATGTCAAGTCAATTTATTCATATTAATATCTTGTATTTTCTGCGCATCTTGCTTTTAAATGTACCTTCTAACCAAGTTTTATTGTCAATATTTGAATTATAGATGGAAATTGAGTTTTATATCGCGAAATACCTAAAATTATTTAATTATAACAAATGGAATCTTGTGAATCTTCTTGAATATTTATCAAACAATGTTTTATTTACAAGTGAAAGTTCAGATCACATCGAAAATCTCATTAGGGAACAGCTGGATCTTTTGATTAATGACACTAGTATTCTTCAAGCAGCACGAAATAAGGCATCAAAAATCCAAAGTAGTTTGCAAGATTCATTCAAACATAGAATAGAAATAAAAAAAATTTTTGAATCTCAAGATCTTAGATTTTCTGAAGTTTGTATAAAATTTTCATTTTCTATATGTTTCAATTGTTTTGGATGAATTCTTTTATGATGAACAAAAATTTACTGATAAACACATTATAGAGACGTTATCAAATAAATGCGCAGCTTAGTGTCATGTCAGACAAGATATTGATAGCTAAAAATTCCAATGAGAACCTTTCTGTAGTAAGTGTTTGATTTTGTCAATGAATTTTCATTTGATATTTTACTGCATTTATTCTTCTGATCCATAAACATTATAGAACAAAGAGATTACGAAGAAAGCATGCAGCTCAAATAAAGAACACAATTTGTTAAAAGAAAGTCATGATAGTTTACACGAAAGTCCCAAAAAACTAGAAAACTATGGCAACATGCAAAGAACAGAAGATGGTAAAGAGAATGTTGAACAAAAAGAATATGAAGATTTTGAAACTGAAAAGGTCTGTTCTGGTTATATTACTGTCATTGTTTTACAAAAAAATAACAGTTTATTTTTTTTATTCATTCCTTACACAAAGACGATATGTGTTAAGAACATTTTTGAAGAAACAATGTTATCATCTGATGCTGAAAAGGCCCTTACAGAATTTTTTTTCAACCATTTTCCTGGAACAAAGATCATGAACTTACGTCCAAAATCCAACTTTTCACTTCTTCTTGATTTATCTTTGCTGCAAGATGTTCTTCATGAAGTGTTTGATAAAATTGATGGTTATATTACCACTGAAATTCATGGTTACCTTGTCAAACTCTTCAACAATGATCTCACTCCCCAAGGATGGGACAACACTATTAGTAACATTACCTCAAATATCAATGATTCAGATTTACTTTCAAAAACGAAAAGGCTAATCAAAGATACTTTCCCTCGATTGTAAGTAAAGGTTACATAAATATAATCTAAACAGTTCCAACATCCTTTTTACCAAATCACCTTCATTCATTTCTAGTTTCAAGGCCTTTTCTTTGGATGTTCTTAATCCCTTAAGGGATTTAGAGACCCTTGAAAAACCACACATAAACCAATTTGTGCACCCACTCATTGATTCAGCCCTTTGGATTTTTGCGAAAGTGAATTACATCTTGTAAGCAGATTTAAGCTTTAAACTTACAATTAATTAATCATAAAATTATAATAATGATGAACTAATTATTTAGTGGAGAGATACCATTCAAAAATATGCCAACAAAAGTACGAGCTGATGGCATTGGATTTTTGAATGATGTTGATAATTATCCAATAGTTAGTGTGGAGGGAGCACGACCTGGGGCATCAGAGCGTAAAAGCTTTGATGATAATGCAAAAAATGATATAACAATGTCAATACTTTATAATAATATAGTAATCTTGGAAGCTGAAGCACGTCGGTATTTATTTTCAGATCTTAGGGTATATGGGTTGACATCATTCAAGACTGAAGTCTCACTAACTATGATGGATTTTTCTGAAATTTACACAAAATATTCATGTGATTTTAATAATTAATTAGCAATTTCAATTTTCAGATACACACCGGCTTTTTGAAGTAGATCGCTTCAGTTTGCCAAGAGACTGGGTTGAAATGCCAAATTTTGTTTTCTTGTATGAATCATTAATCAAGTGGGCTGTAAGCATATTTACTCATTTGTTCTCTTCATCTGTCATGTATCCATTGAGGTAATCATGAAATTTTTTTTTTTTTTGTAAATGTAGTTATGTGTCAATGAAACCAAAAATGGTTTGATTGAACAAAGAAAAAAAAGACGGATTAGTCGGTACTCAGAAGCACGTGTTGTAAAAAAATTGGTACAGATGAAATGAGGAGGGTACCAGTAACAAAACGTTGTTATTATTATGAAAATTCAATGGCTCTCTTTCTCTTCTTAGATCGCCTTCATGAAAAGTAGAGTTTAAATTAATAATATAAATAATAGATTACCTATGAGTATTGATTGTATGGTAGTAATAACAAAAAAAAACATAAATTGTAACTTACTTGCAGGAAAAAAAGATTATATATAAAAGAGAATATGCAAATTTTCTTTAAATATCAACTTCCAATAAATGAATTCCTTTATTTTTAACCTTTTTTAAAGTTTCTCTAAAGATTTTCTTTTTATTGTTATCTAATTCTTTTTGAATTATATTTTCAGAGCATTCTCAACAACAAAATTCAATATTTTCTCTATTTTCTTTATTTCATCAATTAATTTCTAAACCTTCTTTTATATTGTGGCAATTAAAACGTTCTTTTTTGGTCATGATTACTTATCAATATAGTAAGTTTTAAGCAAAAAAAAAAAAAAAAAAATCAGTGTTCAATCATGGTAGATCGGATGTAAATGAGTTTCATATTAACTATTTTTATATAGGAGTATTTCTATATATCACTTAAGAAACTGATAATT